CCCTTTTTGTTTGTCATTTTGGATAATTACTGGAAGATGGCGGTTATAATTGCTGATCATCAACTGAGTACTACTACATTTTAAATAATTTACTTTTCTTTCATAGTGTAAATAAACATAGAGGTATTACAATGGAAGTAGAACTCAGAAGTTAAATAGAACTATGTTGAAATTCTATGGCACAGGAGCAGCAGTTGGCGTAATGGCTATGTCTCTGGACTTCCATGTATTTGACCGCGGTTCGAGACCCAGACCCAGTGGCTTAAACTCATGCCAAGCGCGTGTGCGTGCGTGCCCAAGATCCCGAGAGGAGCATGGAGGAGAAGGGATTGCGGTGTGGCCATCCTTCCTGAGGAGGTGATTTCTCGCTTTCTGTCTCTCTGTCTCTGTCTTTCTGGCGAGCGCACGTGCCCCGTAGTAAAAACCTCTCCTCCCCAAAGAAAGAAATTCTCTGGCACAAGGTAAAATAGTGAGCTGCTTTGTTTTCGTTTGTTTGTTTTGTCAAAGAGCACATGTGAGAGACAGAAATATATAAAGCAAGAGGGGAGAAAGCAAACCACCCTCATGGGTCTTGGTCATGCTGCAATCCCCACTCTTCCATTTCTCCAGATCCCGTCAGGATTTAGGGCATGCATGCATATGCACCCAGCATGGTTTTCAAGCTGCTAGGGCCAGGATTTGAACTACATGGTCATCCACATGGATCCTGCTTCCTTAGGTACCAGGCTATGGGGCTGACCCTGTTTCGAATTAGTTTACTTCAATATTTGAAGAGACTTCAGATATCATTGATCATTTTTCAAATGTTGATGACCAATAAAAATGAACATTGTTCAACTTTCAAATTGTTTTCTAAGTAAGGACAATCCAAAGAATTAGGAGAGGAGAGAAGAAGGAAGAAGTGAAAAAATATTGTCTATTCTCATGACTATTTCATAAAAGATAGAACACAGTCTTAAAGTAAAGGACAATTGTCTAACTTGAGAAACACTTATAGCCTTGTGGTTAAGGGAACTGAATACCACTTGAATGACTTAGGTTCAAATCCTGGTCCCAGTGGCTTAAAAGACACACTGAATGTGTGTGTGTGTGTGTGTGTGTGTGTGTGTGTGTGTGTGTGCCTCCCAAATCCTGGCAGGATAGAGAAATGGGGGAAGAGGGATTCTGTTGTGACCACATCCCATTGGGAGGTGCTGTCTCCCTTTCCCTTTACTCTGGCAATTAAATAAATAAATAAATAAAAGAAGAAGAAGGAAAGAAGAGTTTACTATGCGGTCCTTATTTTCTTCTCATGCTGCAGGCTGTTGGAGATTTAATGACAGTGGTGTTGCTTCACACACTTGCACCCGGAACCTCAGGTCTAGATCCATCTCTTCATTTTACAGATGGAAAAATGAAAATGTCTCTCCAGGTAAATCTAAACATCCTTGAACGAGCAGATTAGGGTAGATTCATAAAGTTGTTTTGTTTTGTTTTTGTTTTCTTCCTTGAGAGCATCCTGCTTCAGTTCTCTGCTTGCACCAACCCAAGCCTGCTAGAGAGCATGTTCTAGAAAGGTCCAGTAATCATATCCAGTTGTTACTATAGTTCTCTCTTCATCGTGTGAAAAACAATCCTATCTATCTGGTAAACAATGACTTTTTAAATTTACTTATGCTGGACTAGTGACAAAAATTTGTTTCCCTGGTCTCAAACCTGAGTGTTCTTGATTACTGAGGCCATTAACCAGAGAAGTCAGGCCATGTACTGTCATTGACTGGAGTGTAAGTGGGATTTGGGACACTAGTTTTATAACTTTGTTCATAAGACATGAAAATAATGTTCATGATGTTTGTATCATGAGTATGGTAGCTCTTGTCATAGATTATTTTTTTTCCTAAATAATTATTTTATTTAACTTTATTTATTTATTTATTTTAATTTGACCAGAGAGGGGGAGAGACAAAGTGAGAAAGCAAGTTGCCAGGTCTGAGACTTGAACCACGGTCGGCCACATGGGAGTCCAGCATCTTTTTCTTTTTCTTTTTCTTTTTTAGTTTTTTTTTTTTTTTTTTTAGAGATTTTTGCTATAGGGCGCGTGCACTCGCCAGGCAGACATAGAGAGACATAGAGACAGAAAGCGAGAAATCACCCCCCAGGGGGGATGGTCACACCGCAATCCCTTCTCCTCCATTCTCCTCTCGGGATCTTGGGCATGCATGCACACGTGCCCGGCGTGAGTTTTAAGCCACCAGGTCCGGGACGCGAACCACGGTTGACTACGTGGGAGTCCAGCAACATAGCCATTACGCTAACTGCTGGTTCCCGGAGTCCAGCATCTTTAACCACCATGTCACCTGCCAGCTCCCTTGTTATAGATTCTAAAGTACATACAATTTTGATGTCTTAATGTTTTTCCCCTGGCTTCTTTAAGATTTACATGTTATAGGAAGGCAAAAATCATTTCTCTCTTGAACTTGACTGTCCTCATCAATCTGTCTTCTGTACCCTGCCCATTTCATTTTCTCTGATCCTTATTGCACATTTTCCCTCATACTCCACCCCTCCCAACAATCGCTGTTCCCAGAGTTTTCAAAATACTCTTCGGAAATTCCAGTTTCCCTTCATTTCAGTTTATAAATTGCCCTTGTACTCATATACAGAGAAGCACTTTGTAACTATGTCAGTCATTTACACTCTAGTGTGAATCTATTTTTGCACCCTCTCCCCCCTACCAAGTTTCCTGGAGAGAACTTAAAGATAATGGATCTTGGAGAAGGCTGCCATCAAGTGGGGAAATTGCAAAAGAATGGGAAGGCGAAAGGCATTGACCGTGAATTTCATCTGCTTCACAATGTCACTCCTGACTGAGTATTGTCCCCCCCTTAAAAAAATCTTTCCAATGTGTTCATCATACTTACCTGCCAATAATTTGAGTAAACAAAAGAAACATGGGTACGATTATGTCCACCCTTTCCCCACAAAACAACACAGAACGTTATGCTTTACAAATAATCAGCACAAGACATCAGGTTAATGGTGGTGGATTGAACCAATGCATTTGTTTATGTTCCCTCCACAAACCACAGGCAAAGGACATTAAAGGATTAGAACGAACAAGCCCACAAGTACAAAAAGAAAGGCTGAGGAAATGATAACAGACAAAAGATGTCAACGAAGATTGGGAAAGCAAGAGTGATAACTGATTCAGCAGTGTGGGTGAGGCTGGAACCCGACTGCTGCCAAGAGAAAGCCACTTCTCCCAGCCAACCCCAGGAAGCCACAGGAATTCGTAGGGAGCAGAAAGCTGAGGGAGGAACATGAAGAGGCGCTGACATTCGGGAATTCTCGGAAAGGCTTTACAGCTTGGGCTCCCAGATCATCTTTCTGACCCCACAGAGCTGGGCCGCTCCCTCTCGTCAGAGAAGGTGTGTTCTGGAGAGTGTGGAGAAACGAAAATAGCCGAGGAAAATCACTGAGAAAAATTATCCTAAAACCTTATACCATAACTTTGCTGTGCAGTCCTAATAACGCATTGTAAAACGCTGCTTCATTACGCTGTAACTGTTGTAAATTGAGAGCGGGAAAAGGGTTGGTTGGTTTGGCGGGAGAGAGTAGGTAAGAAATGTGAATTTTCCCTGAGAAGAAGTCAAAACTCAATAATAGGAAAAAAAAAAAATCAAGGAATGGTAGCTGAAAGAGGTCATTTTGATATTAGAAGAAACAACCAGAAAGGGTTAGGAGGAAGGTCTTTATGTAAAGTGAGATTTGGAATGGAAAAGCACACTCCAGAAGCTTCAAATAGAAATAAAATTTTAAAAGAAGCACTTTAGGAACTGTTTTTCTATGTTTTTGTTTTATTCTCTGCTTTCCCTTAAAATATTTAATAGTGTGAAAATAAGAAAAACAAGTTGTTCCTTTGAAAGATGTCCATATTGTTTGGAACATTGATATAAAGATGAAACTAGAAAACATATTTCAGAGTGAATCTTCCTGGGAAATATCAGACTTTATTGATTTTCTTTGCCCTTCATTTTACTAGTTTCTTTGATTTTATAATATTTATTTTTCACCCCTTAGTTCTGTTTTCTTCATGATAATAAAAACCAAAATAGTAACTTTTCAGATTTTGTGGTTTTTAACAAAAACAAAACAAAACCAAAGAATGATGACCTGTAAGAGAAATTTAGAAAATCTGAAGCATAGGGGGTGTTGGCAGGTGGCATGATGGTTAAGGGTACTGGGACTCCCACGTGGCTGACTATGGTTTGAGTCCTGGACCTAGTGGCTTGCTTTCTCGTTTTCTTTCTTTCTCTGTCCCCCTCTCTGGTCAAATTAAAATACATACATAAGTAAAATTAAATAAAATAACTACTTTTTTAAAAAATCTGAAGTTTATTTATTTAGACCAGAAAATTGATGAAGGGTTTAGATAGATTCAGCGATGTTTTCTACTTAAGCAAGGTAAATGGGATTTTAAAAAGAGGGAGAAAAAAGAAGCAAGAGTAAGATTCTAATACAGAAGTTTCTGTTATGGATTGGATAAATGTTGACGTCTACTGTAAGAGGAATTTGTCTGATAAACTCCTTTACAAAGGGAAACTGGTTTCTGAGGTAAATGATGTATATCAAAGGAGTCCTTAATACTTAATGTAATAAAGGAGAAAGAATTGGAGAAGGTCCAAATAAAGCTGATAATATTGGTATGCAAATTATCCCTAGAACAACGCTGAATTTTCTAGTCAGTTTGTGAAATTGGAGTTTGAATTTTTACCTCAAATTGATGAGCTTATCAAATTCCAGGCTGAAAAAAAAATCTATTTTCAAAACTCTTTCTCTATATGTAAATTTATTTTATAAAATAAAATAAAAATATTCAAGGAAGTCCTGAATATTAGATGCTAGAAAGTGAGTATGGGAAGTATTCTCTCGGATAAGCAGTACATTTGTTTTAAATTCTTTTGGAGAATAATCTAGGTCATTGGGAGAAAAATAAAAACATCACAATTATGTCCTACAGTTATCTTGTCAGAATCTGAGTCAATTAGTTCTTTCAGTGCTCAAAATTTTCAGTGAAACACATGACTGTTAATATTTCTATATGATGCATATAATTTATAAAATAAATTTACATTTAGAGAAAGATTTTTGAAAATAGATTTTTTTTTTGCTTCAAATATACTTAGCAACTTGATGGTGTTTACACATAAGAACACTTTTAACTCTTTTATATAAAAAGTATTTCAAATAAAATACCAGGTTACCATTCCGGTCTCCCTTTCGTTTGTTAGAAACTCAGAGGGTTAAGTCATTTGTATAAAAATGTTTCATATGAGGGAAAGTCTGGAAAATAGTAATACACTAGTTAATGTGATAACTAGAAAGTCTTTTGTATGATTTAGGTGACTCAATGCATTTATGATAATGAAAGCCCCTCCTGATGTGGTCAGAAGACTTGAGTCAGTGTAACTTACACAGTGGCTTTGGGCGTGGCCTTTAACCATTCTGTGCCTTGTACCACGAGTGTTTGATCTAGATTATTTTCTTTTCAGCTCTGAAAATATCTAGTAATTTTAAAAAATGGTTATTGGGGAATTATGGCAGGTCATTGATTTTTCTGAATTTAAAAATAAATAGGGCCTGCCCCATAGCCTTGTGGTTAAGGGAGCTGGATCCCACAGGACTAACTATGGTTCAAATTTCACAGCCCTGGAAGGTTGAGGAACACGCTGAGCACACATGTATGCCTGCTCTAAATCCTGACTGGATGGGGAAGTAGAAGGGAAGGGATTACAGTGTGACCATGCCCACTGAGCGGTGCTCTCTCCCTCTCTGTTTCTCCATCTCTCTCTTTAAAGTAAATACATAAAAATAGCATTTGTTTGGAGAAATTGCTGAAATTGACATGGTCAAGGAGGAATTGTGTTAAAGCTGGTGACTTAGTTTCATGCCAAGTGTTGGTGAGATTAAATGCAACTTAGATTTAGGATAAATATTGAGTTTTGGTTTCTAGAAGACTTCTAAAGATTTATTTATTTATTTATTTATTGGAGAGATTTTTGCTATAGGGTACACGTGCTCGCCAGAGAGACAGAGACAGAGACAAAAAATGAGAAATCACCCACCGGGGGGATGGCCACGCTGCAATCCCATCTCCTCCATTCTCTTCTCAGGATCTTGGGCACACACGCACACGTACCCAGCGTGAGTTTAAGCCACCAGATCCGGAACTCGAACCACAGTTGACTACATGGGAGTCCAGTGACATAGCCATTACGCTAACTGCTGGTCCCTAAAGATTTATTTTTAATTTTATTTGTTAATATTATTCTTCAATTTTGACCAGAGAGAGACAAAGAAAGAATGAGAAAGCAAGGCTCCAGGCTCAGGACTTGAACTGTGGTTGGCCATGTAGGAGTCTGGCGCCTCAACCACCATGCCATCTGCCGGCTCCTCTGGAAGACTTGTGTAACCCTAACATTGTCCAGTTTTGTGTGTAAAATAAAGAGCATGATGCTAAAGATGATGTGGCCCATTCGATGATAATCCTGATCATGACAACAGAGAACCACACTCTCAGTGTGTTCTAGGCACTGTGCCAAGGACTTCTCATAACTTCTATCTAATCCCCTCAACATTCTGAAGATGGACAGTGGTGTCCCAGTCTATCTAATGATGAAACTCTACAGTGCAGAAGTCAGCTAATTCTAAACTATCTTCACTTTAAGCAGATATATTCCCTATTTCAGTTGTTAATAGTAGACTACGCAGAGAAAAGAAATATTGGGTTTCCAGTTCCACATGTGAGGCATTTAAAAGTCACCATTCCATCCCAATATCAAGCAAAAATCTGAACAAACTGAAAAATCAGCAACTCAGAGATGTGTAAGAGAAGTGAACTCACAGGCCCAGGTGCTACCCCACCAAACTAGAACCAGATGGATATAGAGAATCACAAATATGGAGCAGAAACCTCCTTGGAAGCTGGTGCCAGGATAGGAAGTCCCAAATGGTAATGGCCAAACTGGTGGAAGCTTCGTGTGGACAGGTTTGAGAGTTAAAAACTCCAGGGGGACTCAGTCACGGGGTAGGGGTGGGTGTGAGTTTGTGAGTAACCTCCAGAAGCTCAACCAGCTTCTCACAGTTAATATTGGAGAAAAATCTCCTGTGCTTTAGGCAGAAGGGGAGCGGGTAAAGAAACCATTTTGCAACTCATTAGACCGAGCTGTTTTTCTGCCCTCAGGAGAAAGTAGTTGACCAGCACCTAACCTGCAGAAGTTTCAGCCAGAGTCTAAATGATCTAGAGGAAGAGAAATACCCAACTTCTGCCTACTCTGGCCACCTTGTCCCACCTAAGGGTGGAGAAAAAACTGAGGAACACTTACTGAAGTTTGCAGTCTTCAGGTATGCCTTGGGCTCACTAAGAGACTGAGACCTCACAGGATTATGGAATGCTTACCCTCCACCCAACTCCTACCATGTTACTGAAGATATTTACAGCAGTTCTTTCTTTTCACCCAGAATAGCACGCCTATCAAGAAAAAATTATAAACCATAAACAGGCAAAAAAAAAAAACACACAAAAAAACAAAAAAACACATCAATTTGAAGAAACAGAGGAAGCATCAGAACCAGGGGTAGTAGAGATGTTGGAAGGATCAGACAGGGAATTTCAAACAACTGTGATGAACACGGATGGAGTGGCCTGCAAGAGCTCATGGACAGTGTACACAGAGGTGGAAATCCTAAAAAAGAACTCCCTCAAAACAAACAAACACAACAAAACAAAACCCTCAAGCCCAAAAAGATAAAACAAAAAACATGAACAGAAATGAAGAATGCCGTTGATGGGCCTCTTAGCTGACTGGATACAGCTGGGGAAAGAACGTCTGTGCTGGAAGAGATCTTGAGAGAAACCTCCCAAACTGAAAAGCAAAGAGAGCAAAGACTGAGAAAAAAAGTGGGACGGACTAGCCAAGAACTGTTACTAAAAGGTAACGTACATGTAATGGGACTGCCAGAAGGAGAAGAAAGAAAGGAACAAACAAAATATTTTAAAATAATGACTGAGAATTCCCCCCAATTAATGTCAGATACCCAACCACAAATCCAGGAAGCTCGGAGAACATCAAACAAGATAAATGTAAAAAAAAAACAAAAAACAAAACATAAAAAACAAAACAACAAAAAACCCAATAACAACCAAACCAAACAACAGAAAACTATACCTGGACATATTTACAAATTACAGAAAAGCAAAGATAGAGGGAAAAAATCGTAAAAGATACCAGAAGAACTACGGAAGACCTAAGGTAAGAATTACATTGGACTCCTCTTCAGAAACCATGCAAGTAAAGAGAGTATGATGTGGATTTTTTTTTTTTTTAAGTTTTGAGAGAAACTAATGACTAAGTTAGAATATTCTGTACCCTGTGAAATTATCTTTCAAAAGTGAAGGTGAGGGGCCGGCAGGTGGCGTGGTGGTTAAGGGCACTGGACTCCCACATGGCCAACTGCAGGTCAAGTCCCAGACCTGGCAGCTTGCTTTCTCACTTTCTCTCCCTCCCCTCAACAGATTAGAAATAAATAAAAAAAGTAAATTAAATAAATTTTTAGAAAAGTGAAGGTGATATAAAAGACTTTCTCAGACAGACAAAAATTGAGGGAATTTGTTGTCAATAGATATGCCTGCAATAAATGTTAAAAGAAATTCTTTAGAGAGGAGAAAAATAATATAAGCCT